TTTTTTTTTTTTTTTTTTTTTTTTTTTTTTTTGCATTATTAATATAAGTTTTGAACAACTAAGTATTTGAAGGTTTTGTGTTTTTTTTCTTTGTTGTTTATTTTTGTATAGCACTAAAGAATTTTAAGTGCTGAAACATAAAAATTCTCATTTGTATATCAGTCAATAAACCAACTATGATTTAATTGGATATTTTTGAACTTTAAAGTGCACGTAATTCGATTGTATTTAATAGTTGAAACGTTAAAAAATTTTCACATTCTTATAGCTGTTGTTAATTCATACAAATCTGTCGTCAAGTCGAAACAGTCATTAATTTGAAAAAAAAAAAATAAGTTAATAAATAAATACTGTTCTGTAATATGTATCAAACTGTATACATTATTTTACATTTTAAACTTTTAAACTTTTCATTTTTTTCGCTTAGATCAAAATGTCTTTGTTGAGCAGAATTATTCCGAAAAAAAGCGTGTACGATTCTTGTTTTTAATAATTTCAAATTATTAGCAGTAACTGTGAATAAAAAATAGAAAATTTTTAACTTCAATTTTATCTTTAAATGTGAAAAACAATGATTTTTTTACTTAGGAAATGAGGCATTGTTCAACAAAATGCGAAATTTTACTCAAAACGCCGGTATTTTCAACCTGTTTAGTGGTGGCAGCATTTCTCGGTTTACGCTTTATCCTCGTTACACTTAACTATCCTAAAGTATATCTTTCAGTTCTGTTTTTGCAAAATAAATTTGAAAAAAAACTTTAATGCTTTTTTCTGATTGTATTAAAAAAAAAATATTGCCAGTAATCTTTTTTTTCTCAGAATAGCGCATTTATAAATTTTGGTATTATTCATTAAACAGTAAGTACTAAATAAAGCTAGTAATTTTTTAGACATTTTCTGCGTATTCAACTTTTGCGGCATTTTTGTACATTTTTTATGAAATGTATTGGAAACGAAGAAATTTACCACCTGGACCAATTCCCTTATTGGCAGCAGGAAATATCCCGTATTTGTTGTTCTACAATTCCATTGATGAGATGTTTTTGAGCTGGAAGCAACGCTATGGTAAGTAATTGTACATCATAGGTCATTTTTAGATCAACTCTTTTTTCCCAGCTTTTTTTAAAGCTCTAAGAGTTACACAATTGAAAAGTCTTATCAGTGTGTATATATATTACAAATGA